CGTGGGACCCTTCAGTCCGCAGGCTGACGCTCTATCCACTGAGCCTAGCCGGCCAGGGCTTACATTTAAGTCTTTAATCCATTTTGAGTTTATGTGTGTGTGGTGTGAGAAGGTGGTCTAGTTTAATTTTTTTCATCTATCGTTCAATTTTCCCAATATCATTTATTGAATAGACTGTCTTTACCCCACTGTATGTTCTTGCCTCCTTTGTCAAATATTAATTGACTCTAAAGGCATGGGTTTATTTCTGTGCTTACTATTCTGTTCCATTGGTCTATAAGTCTGTTTTTGTGCTAGTACCATGCTGTTTTTATTACTATGGCCTTATAGTATAATTTGATATCGGGTAGTGTGATTCCTTCAACGTTGTTCTTCTTTCTCAAGATTGCTGTAACTGTTTGGGGTCTTTTGTGGTTCCATATAAATGTTTGGAATATTTATTCTAGTTCTGTGAAATACACCATTGATATCTTGCTAGGAATTGCATGGTATTAAAGATTGCTTGGGGTAGTATAGACATTTTAATGTTGATAATTCTTCCTACCCATGAACACTGTATGTGCTTGCACTTATATGTATTTTCTTCAGTTTTTTTCTTCAGTGTTTTATAATTCTCCAAGTGCATGTCTTTTACATCCTTGGTTATGTTTATTCCAAGGTATTTTTTGGGGGGTGGAGGGTGGGGGATGCAATTGTTTTCTTAGCTTCCCTTTCTGATAGTTCATTATTGGTGTATAGAGGTGAAACGGATTTCCGGATATTTATTTTTCAGCCTACTTTACTGAATTTATCAGTTCTACTAGTTTTTTTTTTGGTGGGATCTTTAGGGTTCCTTATATACAGTATGATGTTATCTGCAAATAATAACAGTTTTACTTGTTCTTTTTAAATTTGGATGCCTTTTATTTCTTCTTCTTGTCTGATTGCTATGGCTAGAACTTCTAGTACTATGTTGAATAAGAGTGGTAAAAGTGGACATCCCTGTCTGTTCCTGATGTTAAGGGAAACACTTAGTTTTTGCTCATTGAGTATGATTTTGGCTGTGGGTTGATTCTCAAACTTTTATATACACACGAATCATTAGGGATCTTATTAAAATGTAGATTCTGACTCAATAGTCTATGGTGGAGTTTGAGATATTAAAATTTAGATTCTGATTCAACAGTCTTATGGTGGAGTTTGAGATTCTACATGTTGATGCTGACTGATGCTGCTTTGAATAGCAAGCCTATAGATTACTCTAACTGTTGTTTGCATTGGAGAGGACTAGAATGCAGATGATGGGGAACGCTTAGAATGATTCAGGCCACAGATGACTGCCTGAAATAGGGTGGTGGCAATGAAGAGAGAGAAGAGTGGATAAATTTGACCACTGTGTAGAAGATAAATGCATTGAGAGAGAGCAGAATCATAAGCAGCAGCAATCCCTGAGAGGCAGAGTGACAGAATAGAAAGGCTATAGAGCTGGAAGTCTGAAAGCCTTAGTTCTGGTCCCACATTTGCTTCTGAATTGCTCTGTGATGTTGGGCAGGTTACTTAATTTCTTGGAACGTTTGTTTCTTCTTCTGTCAAATGGGCAACATAATCACTGCCCTGCTTGTCACACTGTTGTTTTGAGACTCTAGAGAACTAATATATGTGAAAGTGCCTTGTAATCACTAGAGCATGATACAAATACAAAACTAATTACATCTTCAATGACCTTATTTCCAAATAAGGTCACATTCTGAGGCACTAAGAGTTAGGACTTATCTTTGGGGAGACACAATTCAACACCTAACAAGGGTCCTTCAGCTCTTTCACTTTTCT